TTTAAAACTTTCATAATATTGCTGTTTAATACTAATAAAATACATTTTAAACATTTTTCCTTAGCTGAAGATAAATTAGATTTCAACTAAGGACAAATGTCTACAGTGTAAGTTTATTACTTATTTATGTTCAGGATTCAATCCTTGAACCACTAAGAAAAAGGAAGAAAATAGTTATATATAATTCTGGGCCTCACCACCATTTCATTGGCCTCCATTTTTATATCAATAATTCCTGCACAGTTAAGCCTTAGCTGCAGTGAAGTGTGCGCACTCTATGATTTTTACTAGAACCATGAATTAAAGAACCATGATTTTGTAAATCCAAGTGAAACGACCTGTTGGAGAAAGTATATGGAAGAAGAGCGGGCCAAGAAAATCAAGATCACTTTTAAACAATAAGTGAGTTCACATTCAGCATAAATAATTTTTCATCTGAAGCAAAATTATTTCACTTTCAACCCTACAATGCCAAACTACAAAATTGTATTTTTTTTTCTATTTTCTCGTCTACAATTTTACCTTTATTTCTAAAATGATCAGAATTTTAACAAGTGCACTAATTTTATTTTTTTTTTGTATTCATTATCTTCTATATAATCATTTGTTGTTCCACAAATATTTAATTTCAGGGACCCAACCCCTACACAGTCCACACCAATTGAAACATGAACCAACCCAAAATTACACACTTAGAGACCAATGGGTAATATTTGGCTCACACCAAATTGCAATGATCAAACAGGTGGATATTGATAATTTGATAAACAGGGGTTTGTACCATGGACTAAGATCGAAGTCGAAAAAGGTTGCAAGAATGTTCTGAGATATTAAGGATTTATTTGTTTAATTCCTGAGAACTATGTATTTATAAGTAGTTTCTATCAGTGAAAGATTCAGGAAGTAATTTAAAAAAATTAATTAAATTGGAAAAAATGACTGCATAATAACTAATAGTAATCCCCAAATATACTATAACAGTAAGGCTCGAAATCGGTTTTGTACCAAATATAAGCTCCTGTCATGCTGAAATAGAATGAATGGGGTACCGTCGGGTTCAAAATTTCACAGAGATTTAGCGAATCGTACTCTCCGCTTTTGTTTTTCTTTCTAAAATATATAAAGTCGATACAAACATTTTGCTAGGCTTCAATACTGAAACGGTGGTAGGTCTGTAGATCGATACTGGACAAATTGGATCTTGAAGATTTTGATGCGTACACGAACACCCGGATAGTTCCACTGGAACTATCGGATCCTGCGTTTTTAAGGCCCACAAACGTACTATTTTCAATGTAACGTAAGGCAGAGGTTTCACATCCACGAAATGTTTATTTGAAATTTAAATAATCCCCATACCCACATATATTGTTCAGTAAGGCTCGAAATCGCCTTTGTACCAACTATAAGCTCCTGTCGTGTTCAAATACCATGAATAGGGTACCGTTGGATTCAGAATTTCAGGGAAGGTTAGCGAATCGTATTCCCCACTTTTGCTTTTCTTTCTAAACTGAATAAAGTCGGTACAAACATTTTGCTAGGCTTCAATACTGGAACGGTGGAAAGTCTGTAGATCGATAAGGGACAAATTGGGCTCTGAAGGTTTTGATGCGTACATCAAGACTAGGATAGTTCCTCCGGAGCTAACGGATCCTGCGTTCTTAATTGTAATATTCCATTAATTGTAGTACTGTCATGGAATACATGTCTCATTTCGTCGACTTGAGGCATCCATGACCAAAAAAGGATTTTATATTATTTATCGAAGGTGTTTTTTGTCGGCAAGCCATATCGTCGTTAATTCTTCACCAAATCCCAAGATTGAGCCACCAATTTGGAAGGTTTCCTCCTTCAGGCGGGTAAAATATTGCAATCACCTCGATAATTCAGGCAAAAAAGTTATGAAAGATAATAGACTTTATTTGCGAATAAAGCGAAAATTACACACTTTTCTCTGGGTTATGTTCATAATTATATAAAACATTACTAAATTCCCTACAAAAGGAAAAAAAATTATCAAAATCGGACAATGTTTAGCAGAGATAGAGCTTATTGAAATTTGTAAACATGATAGTTCCAAACATTAATGAAGTTTTAAATTAATTTTTGTTTCCTTTGTCGATTATATTTACAAAATAACAATTGTTTCCTTTTCTTATTAATTTGTTATTTAATCACTGAACAATAAACTGAGCGAATTTTCGTTGGGGCCTGCTAGTTACAAAATAATATAGCAACGTAACCGATCAGCTTATATTGTTAATTTTTTTCAAATGTTAATCTTATATTTTACGAAGAGTCCTGAGGCGAAGTATGGTTATTAGAACCCAGTGAAGATCTTGTTTAAATGGAACAAGTTTGGCAAACCCGGAAGCACGGACTATTAATCAATATGTGCCCCATTGTCAGTGCTAGAAGCGACCGGTGGTTTTGTAGGTTGGCATCTCGTCAGCTATAACTGGGTCGGGTTTGTGTTCTCAGCTTGTGTTCTACCCTTTCAGGACCCGAACTGGCTCGCTGCACTCCTTCCGCATTGTCGCTGCAACCACACAAAGGATGGCCTCTGCCATAAAGGCTGCTTAATGGCTTTTCCATCAATTCCATCCCCAATTATCGAGAGATGCTTCACACTTGATAAAAACTGGTTTACATATTGATATTAAACAGCGAAATTGTTTACACATTGTTGCAATAAATAATTATTAAGCAGTAGGAAAGCGTTTTCGATGCAATCGAACGACGTATGATCTGTTAGTAAGATTTGTTTTCGGGATTACCAGGACAGTCATATAACTCAGTATTACGAAGAGAAAATGAGCCCTTACATAGAATAGGAGAAGGAAACCTTCGAAATTAGTGGCTCAATCTTGATATTTGGGGAAGAATTAATGTTGATATGGCTTGCCGGTCAAAAACACCATCGATAAATAATATAAACTCCTCTTCTCTCTATCATATAGGCCTCAAGTCGACGGAATGAGACATGTATTCAATGACAGTACTACAATTAACGTAAGGTTGTGTGGATGCGAACCCTACGCCTTGTGTTATCTCGAAAATAGTACGTTTTGGTGCTCAAAAACGCAGGATCCGATAGTTCCCTCGGAACTATCCGGGTCTTGTTGTACGCATCAAAATCTTCAAGAGCCAATTTGTCCCCTATCGATCTACAGACCTACCGCCGTTCCTGGATTAAAGCCTAGCAAAATGTTTGTACCGACTTTATTCAGTTTAGAAAGAAAAGCAAAAGTGGGGAATACGATTCGCTAACCTTCCCTGAAATTCTGAATCCAACGGTACCCTATTCATGGTATTTCAACACGACAGGAGCTTATAGTTGGTACAAAGGCGATTTCGAGCCTTACTGAACAATATATGTGGGTATGGAGATTATTTAAATTTCAAATAAACATTTCGTTTTCAGTAATTCAAACAAAGCTTTTTAAATTAAAATGTTTGCCCAGCGTTTACAATTTAAATATTTCATTCAATTCTGTTCTACATAACCCCACCCTTCTGACTTCTACCCTCCTCTCTACTGCGGAATTATGCACTGAAGCTGTATTTGTCATATCATTTCAAATCATCTTGACGAATTATTTCGAGGCGCCTCGCAATGGAACTTTATCCTACCCATCCGTCAATAGTTTCCATTTTCAAAATCCTCCATTTTAATCATATTTTCCTAATTCATTTTGAATAATTCTATCATATATTATTTTACATAGGTTTTCATTTGGAAAAGTTACTCAGATTTGTATTGCTTTTTTTATTAACAAAATTATTTTTGTTTATTATTATTTATTTATTTGTTTTATAGTTGCTTATGCATGATTTTTATATATTTTTTTCTTCTCCATACTTATTGTATTAATGAATAAGAATGAATCAGTTATATACAGTACTACGACTATGTTTTGGGCAACATAATACTCATACTTTCTTTTAAAGTAAAAACTCTTCTGGTTAATGCCCCAGAATAATGATTTTTTTTTTTTTTTTATATTATTTGTTATATTACTGATTTTCTTCCCTTTTGGTTTTACAGAATAAATTTTTCATCGCCTAAACTACCAGCGTTATCTATTTCTGCTTATTTTGCTTTCCAGTTTACTACATGCAGCAACCTTGATGATTCTATTTATCAATCTGAATTTTGTTCTTCTGTGAATGGGATACGATCAATATAATGATATCAATGATATTATATATATATACATTTTTTTTTTCGGTTGGCATCACAGACCATGAAGATCTTTGGACGCGAGTGTGGTCTCCTAGACCACATCCCGATTCCCGATTTAAAGTACGGGGTAGGGTCATCAATTTTACGCCAGGTCGGTGTGTTGCCTCCATTAATCTGACGGGCCTCACCCGGGGAGGAGACAAGAAATCTCGGGCAGCATGGCTTTTCTTGGTGGACGGTCACCCATCCAAGTAAATAAATATTGTTACAAGAAAATATATACAGATTTCAAGAAAAAAATTAATTTTTAATTTAATGAAAAATTTATAAAAATTAATAAAAAATTGTATTAGAAAATGAAGTGTATATCTATAGAGAGTAGAACAAAAAAGAAATTATTCAAAATGTTCCCCTTATGCCATGACACAGGCATTTGATCTCCGTGGCCAGTCATCAATAGCAGCACGCAGCACTTCTAGACGAAATCACTCAACTGCTCGGGCCAGGGATTGTTTGAGGCTTTCCAAGCTGTGCCATCCTCTCCAGTTCGGATCAAAGTCGATAATCTATTGGATTGAGATCAGAGATTCCTGAAGGCCAAAAGGCCGAGGCAGAGATGAACTCTGGAATGTTATTTTGCAGTCACTGCTGGATTGGCCTGGCCTTGTTAGCTGGGGTGAAACCGTGCTGGAAAACCCAATGACGTCCGACAAACAGCGTACCATTTAGAGGCTTCACAAAGGTTCCAAAAGATCGTCCATATAGTTTTAAGCGGCTGTTTTCACTCCTTTTTCACAAAAATTGAGCTTCGTGGTGCCATCAAAGCAAACTCCCCACCAAACCATCACTGAGGAAGGGTGATGACCTCTTTCCACTCTTCGAATGACTTCCTAGGCTTCTTTATAGCTGGGTGCGTACATAAGATCATTTTGGCGATTACATTTTTCTTTATTTGTAGAAATTTTCTCATCGCGAAACAAAATCTTTCGATGAAGACCATTGGTATGACGGCCACGGAGCACTTTGCATCTATCCACTCTAATTATTTTATAGGTAAGTAGGAAGTCTTTGTCTTGTTATTTCTCGAAATCAACCAATCCTAAGGTCACTTTTTATTATGCGAGACATTGATCTGACAGAACTCCCCATCTTTCAAGACGTGATTTGTTGTTTTTGTTCGAGCAGCCACTGCTGTCACTGCATTTACCTTTCTAACAGTACAGGGACGGGTCCGGTCGAAATCTGTTACATAAAGATCGGTTCTCATTATTTCTATTTAAAGTGCGGTACAGGAACATACGGCTGATACCCCAAGGTTTCAAGGTGTTGAAAGTCTCTGACCTACATTTTTCAACTTTGTGTAAGATGATCACCTCACTCCATGTTAACTGAGCGAAAGCAAAGCACAAACTAACGGGGATTATTATTCTGACATGTAAAGAAAATAGCCTGATAGAGGTGAGCGTTATCTAAATCTAAATAAATACCCAAGTATGTAAACAAAGTTCAAGTTTTGTAACAGTATTTATGACAGAACTATACCTATTATATATAAATAATACTTTATATATCTAATTTTTTTTTTGGAATCGATTCATTGGAAAATAAACCATACAGTACATTTTAAATATTTTGAACTTCAAAATAAATTTTTAAAAATGACGCTATTACCGTGTATAATAAATACTTCAGGGGAAAAAAATAACTAAGTACTGCCCTTGAAATGAAACTGCTTATGTATATTGACCCTTACCGCTTTATGATTCTTGTAATGACAGCCATAGTTTCCTATTGTTCTACGGTTTATTATTATCTGCTACGTTTTGGGGTGTTTAATTTTATTCGGGATGCCACTGGGTAATTACTGATGATAATTACCCAGAAATGTTTAATAAAAAATTAGTAAAATAAATTTGGATCTATAATATATTGATTGGTTCAGAATTAATTAATTAGATTTATTTTCTCAAAGGCTGGTTTGTGTTTATCATGCTTTCTAATTACACACATTATCTGTGATCATCATGATATAAATATGTGGAAAAATCAAAATAACTTTATTAAAATACTTAATTTATTTCTATGTTAAATAAAGAATATATACAAGTTATCTTTAAAACAACAAAATACGTGATTCAATGAATTTAATAATTAACTGTGAAGGTAAGATTTCAGATGGACTGTTTTGAAAATTATATTGCCATGAAACATTAGTAAATTTATTGTTGGGAATAACACTTGTCTATTGTATATGAAGTCGTGTGGTTGGTAAATTGCATCGCTGCATCGCTAAGTTGAGATCATCTCTTCATAGTTCAAAGCTCTGACAGGATCATCATGGTCTATGTAGGGCCATGGCTTCAGTCCCCAAGCCGGAAGAAAATATAAGACCCATCCTCAAGGCCAGACACCAACAGAAGACCTCTCCTCCAGACCGGACATTCACATACAACCTCTTTTCTTCCTTCTCGGTAGATTTTATAGAAAATATTCAGGGTGGGGCAAGAATGGTTTTCATTGGTTCTTAACTTCAACCTATTACTCCACAATAACTGGTAATATCCTGAAAAGGAACTAGTTACTTAGCCTGTTACTAGTTTTTACTCTGAATTTACCTGCTCTCCAACCTTGACGCTGTTCACGATGTCAGAAGTCAGCTTCGTTCAACTTTGCTATCTACACCTTATAACAATTCCAAAACCCCACTATAGCATATCTTTTAGCAAAACTCAATACATAGCATATCCTAATGTATAATGTTAATTTACAGTAATACTTCAACGGAGTAATTATTATGTAGTGAAGTAGGTATATTACCTGAAGGATAATATTCAAAATGTTTACATACTAGGAGGCTCACCTCATTGTATAAGGTATCATATGTCTACTTAACTATTAAGCGATCTTATTTTAATATTATTCCGTATTTTTTTCCTAGTTTGGATAGTTTGGGTTAAGGATTACTGCCCGAAGGCTAAGGATAGGAGAGAGGTTTGTTGAATATGAAAGTCTTACTGTTCAAGTCTTTTGATAATTGATCGAGTTCAGGCTGCAGAGACCTCTGCGCCCGGCTAGTAAGGTTTTTGCCTTGCCAGCTCCCAGGCCTGGGAGGAGGGGCGATTTCCTTGAAGAGAGGGCAGGCACAGGTGTTCAACCCATTAAAGAACTTGATGTGCCTCCGGTATATGAATTCGGTCATCAATAGATCTGGAGCTCGTTATATATGATCCTGTTCATTGCCCTCTAAAGAACGGTGCCTCGTAATGCCTGACGAAGGACTGAGTTATGGTAGTTCTGCAGTTTTTGTAAAGTTGTTCTATACACGTGTCTGAGAAGCGTAGATGCCAATATCGTCCGCATAGACGGCTACCAGTGTCGTTGGATGTTTCAGAGCCTCTACTTGCGCCGTGAAGAAGACAAACAGTACAGACCCTTGAGGTAATACACGGTGGGCCAGACCCCCCTATCGTGCACCCTCTCTCCCTCCCCCACATCCCTATAAATTGCATATCGCTGTGTTACTTGTAACTATTTATTTAAAAAAAGCCAATGTTCCCTCAAAAAAAAGAGAACGCACTGCCCCAAAATGGCGTCCAAAGATGGCGGATTGACGAATTTGACTTTAGTTAGTGTTTTGGTAACTGAGAATCAGCACTTGGCTTAATTTCCTCATGATTGGTATGTTATCAAAGCTGAATAGTCAGAAAATAATAAGACATCAAAAAATATTAAAAAATAATTGGCTTAGACAATAAAAAAACTCAGTAAAGTCAAACATTTTAACAAAAAAATTTTCAAGTTAAAAATAAGACGTCGTTTGTAACTAAACGGCCATCAATAACGCAAAATGTGCTGGAATAAAACATCTGAAGAATATATTTGTCTTTCTAAAACACTGATTACTTTTTAAAATATTTGAAGCAGTTCTATATAAAATGCACTTATGCGGGAGAAAAGCGGTGCCGGCGTAGGTGCCTACAAGCCTGTAACACACCATTCTGTAAACATAAATGTCTTAGTTATAATGATATAATCCCGTTTTTGGTACATTATATTTATTTTATTAACGAACAAATATTGATGCAATAATTTAATTCTAAAAAAAAAATGGAACAATTTTTTTTAAAATTTATCATTTTATTTTATTTAACTTAATTTATTCTATACGGAGGTCGTTTAAGTAGACATCTATTGTAAAAATGATATAATTATGATAATGATATATAATATAATAATAAAACTTAATTAAAAAATACTTTGCTGAATATCTTGAATTTTTTATTTAACGTTTGCAATTTAGCACTTTATTTTGTATATTTACTGATTCTTAGAGGTAATTTAAATTGTATATACTTTCCAGGAAATGACTCATATCAATACCTGTTTTATAATCTAAAATAATATATACCTAATCTGAACTACATATAATGAATCGTTGCCGGGTAGTTTAGTAAAACTTATTGTTATGAAATTGCGGAATAAATTGATCCTAAGTTGGACTATATCATAAAAAAATAGGAAATTTAAATATTGAATGCGTTATTTCCTCTGCACAAATAAAGATGGAAAGGGCGAAACTATAAGTTCTTCTAGTAACTGGAATTGATTGTTTGGATTTGGTCTCAAAATGAGGAAAAACGCGAAATTGAACCCAAAAATTGGAAAAATGCACTAACCGAACGAGAAAGGAAGTGCCAAAATCTTGGAAAAGAAAAAAAGGACCACTTTCCATTATATGGCTAAACGAATGTATAGTAGACAGATGAACAGAATATTTCAAGATGCTGCTAAAAGGAGGTCAAATGCTGGAGAAGTTTGGATGATCTTAAGGGAATGATGGAGGTTTATTATGTTGTACAATCCAAAATCCTTCGTAAAATCCTCAACGCTCCTTACTTTGTCACAAATAAAATCATCCATAAAGACCTTAATGTTCCATATGTTTCCGATTTGGCCCAATCCAGATACCTATCCTTCCAGAACAAACTGCAGAACCATCCGAATCCTTTCGTTTCAAACCTTGCTTCCTTCTCGATCCCTGATAACCCTCCGAGGCGTCTGAAAAGAAGATGACCTGATATAGAAGACCTTCTAATATAGAACTTTAATTTGAGTTCTACCAATGGGTAGTTTCTCTTCATGTTGTACATGTCATGTTACCAATGTCACATTTACTTGTTGTATTTTCCATGTAATACAGTTGTAAATTTCATTAAAATAAAAATATAAAATAAAAATAAAAATTTTATATTTATACACATTTTATATATTTTTATTATCTATAATTTTATAGTATAATCACCGTGTAAATATTAAATTGTATATTATGGACACACCAGAATATTAATATACTTTCTGTATTTGTAACTTATTCTAAAGGGACACTAGTCCCAGAATAATAAAATTATTTTCATTCATTCATTCATTAATCATATAACTTATTTATTATAACAACTGTGAGAGTTATCAAACAGCATATAAAATTACAACATGGGCAGCTTCTATGTTTTCGTAAATTATGATTGCTATTCACTTAAGATTAAGAGGTCGAAAGAGCAAAGCGGATCAGGCACTTACTTTCGTTTTCTCGCGTGTTAAAAGGCGTTTCATCAATTTAGTTAAAACTTTAGGATCTAATTGTAAGTAAAAATATATGATTATAAAACACGGTAACGGCTACAGAAACAAGTCTGCACGATCTAAACATTATAACACGTTTTTCTTCAATATTAAAATAAACTCATCAGAGTACTTAGAGCTTAGCTCGTTGTTTTTTTTTTAATTTCGATAACTTTTATGGAAAATGAATTATTTGAATTAAGTTATTTTTTCAGACAATGGAAATATCAGTATGTACTTGATAAATATTAAAAATAATTATTAATCCTATATGGCGTTCCTTTTTCGATTAGGTTAATTTAAAAAAAAAAAAATCATGGCATAAATATAATAAAATTAATTCATAAAGGTAATGAAACTGACAAAGTTTTTAACTTACAGTTTTTAAAATCACGATTTGATGATTTTTAAATTTTCAGGTTTTTATTTATAACAGGTCACAGAGAAAAAAATGAAACATCGTAGATTTCATTTTGTGGTTTGAGAATATGAGCCAGGACAAGATTGAGCAGAAAAGCTCAAAATCTCATTTTCCAAGGAAATTGTCCTTACAGACTATTGCAGTATGGCTGTCGATATATTCTTAAGTTTTCCTTACGAATAAAATTATTAAGTTTAATACTAATGACAATTTGTAGTAATGATTTATTTTTCTGGAGGGATATAAAAACTATTTGATAAATAAAGATTTTAGATATAAACTTTAATACCACTGAAGTGGTTGAGGAAGAAGTGCAGGGATCCCCTGAAGCCTCGCTTTCCCTTCACATGTGGGGGGTCAAGTTTGGTTCAGATTTCCCACGACCGACTGTAAATAGTTAAAATAGGTATGCCTGCGTCTAAGATGTTTATTTTCATTAATTTATTTTTTTTTTTTAAGATAATTTTAATTTTATTTTACTTATTTATTTTTATTATTATTATTATTATTTAAATTTTCTTCCTCCACTATATTATTTTATTTTGTTCTTATTTAGCTTTATATTATTTTGAAATTACATTTTTTTTTTTTTTTTTTTAATTGGTAAATATGGTGTGAATGTGCTCTCAGAACCCAAAACAAATCCAGTAAAAAAAAAAAAGTTAGAAATATTTTTTTCCATTCTATTATTAATCCATTTCTACTAAGGTTAATCTATCCATAATGGACAGTATTAGAGAAATTTTCAACATTAGTATTAATCACAGCTTTAGTTCTGATGGTTGATCTTGGCATAGGGATTTAATTGGCAGAAAATCTAGTATTTCATCTATTTTTTTTTCTATTCCGTCAATTAATTTAAAATTCATGAAAAAATTCAGAAAATTCTGACAACGTATATTGCACCAGTAATAGACACCAAGGTTTTTTTGAGACTACAGGTTTTTCATATCATCAAACGTCCAAAATAAATTATGCACCGTCTTAAACTAAGAAATGTCAAACTATAGACGAACGAATCAAAATTTCAAATTCATCTCCTAAAGAAAAGTGATAAGGAAACCTCCTTTGAACGTATTATACTATAATTAAAAAATACACTACCAATCAGCTATGCCACAACACAATTCTGAGGTTCAAGCATCGCTCTCAAAAGTGTTCTTGCTTCAAATCTCCTTATATTTGCGATCTCTTTAGGCTTATTTTCTTTTAAAGAGTTGAAAACTGTCTGTTATTTATTACATTTGCAATAAATGAATTAAATATAAGAATAAATAATAAATGAATTTTGTTACAGTTAGTGTCTTCCCGAATAGAGAACGTGGCCTTCTCTCCGTACGGCGTTGTGTCTGTCGGACTGGTGCTGTACGAAGGTGCCAGCGGCACTACCGCAGCGGAGATACACAACACGCTCCGCCTGCCCTGGAACAGGCACCTTACCAGGATAGGTTTCAGAGATTTACATCGATATTTGAAAGTAAATTGCATTATACAATATTAAAATAATCCAAGTAACATAACATAATATCTATTAGAAAAAATATTTCAATATATTATGAACTGTTTTGATTTTTTTTTTTTTAAATACATTCTTAAAAAAAGACCAATCCGTTAATTCTACTTAGTACTTTTAGCTGAAAATGAATCAGGTAAAACAAATACTAATGTAGCACATTATACATTAATACAATTTCAATGAGTTTGGACTACGTAAATGTTCTTAATTTGATAATCAACAATAACAATTCCTTAAAACAGAACGTATAATGTTTTTTTTTTTTTTTTTTTTAGAGCTATTTTACAAATGATGGTTTTCTTCGAGGATTAGTATTGAGCAAGCCCAATGTTATCCTTCATTGGAATTATACAAGACAACTTCAATTTTATGGATTCGACTTGAAATCTACAGATACCACATCTAAGGTTCCTAGTACTACGCAAACTACGCCTTTCGAACAAACTACCAAACCTTTGTTAACTGGTATAGGAACTTCAACTGAAATACCTACTCAACAAACTACCAAACCTTTGTTAACTAATATAGGAACTTCAAATGAAAAACCTACTCAACAAACTACCAAACCTTTGTTAACTACCGTAGAAACTTCAACTGAAATACCTACTCAACAAAATACCAAACCTTCGTTAACTACCGTCGAAACATCAACAGAAATACCTACTCAACAAAATACTACAACACCTTCGTTAACTACCGTAGAAACTTCACCAGAAATACCTGCCCAACAAAATACTACAACACCTTCGTTAACTACCGTAGAAACTTCAATTACCACTCAACGTACGGATGCTGCTACTACAGATGCAGCAATGGTTCCTTCAATTACTCCATTAATTGAAAATAGAGATATAACAATACCCGACGATCAAGAGGCTGAACAGACATCAAAGGCTTCTTTAACCGAGCCAACTACAGCCAAAATTGAAACTAATGATGAAGAAACTCAGCCAACCGGAGAGGTGTCTAAGCCTGGTTCAACGATTCCTACGACAACCGATTCTATTACAGCAGACGGTAATAACCAACAAACTGAAGAAGTGATAAGCGTGAGAGAAAATGAAACGCAGAAAACGGAGGAAACACCAAAGGTAACAACAGATGTTGCAAATACACAAAGTGAAGAGACACAAACAACACCAAACGTTCAAACCTCAATTAGCTCTCAGACAGAAACGAGGACTGCAGGTACTATATCTGAAGCTTCGACGTTGGAAACAACAGTTGCAGATATTGGAGAAGTAGATGAACGATTCGGAATTATTGAAACGGAAGTTCCAACTACGGAACCATTAACCCAGAAAACCGAAATAACTTCAGTGTCTACAAATTCACCAAGTACATCGCAAACAGTAACGGACAATGTTCCTGAAACAACGACGACGCCTTTGTCAGTTACAATGATATCACAAGTTACTAATGAACATAAGGCAGAATCAGAGGCTACAATAGTTACTAGCGTTCCACAACCTACGGAAACCAGTGCTTCAAAAGGAACAGAAGTGGTGGTGAATGAAGCAACGCCTGATTTAACTTCTGCAGCTCAAAGTGAAGGGACTAATACCGAATCACAGTTCCCTACGGAAGCTTCAACCACTTTACCACAGTCCACTCTAACAGAAAGTGTGGGTACAACTTCTGCTAGTACGATTCCCCCATCAACGAATACGGAAACAGAAACAACGAATGAAATAAGTACTCAACACACCACGAGTGAGGCAAACGGGACACCGCACGATAACGAAATTGCCAGAAAGAGGAGAGCATTACAACGTTCTAAAGAACATTGTGAGTAAAAAGATTAAAAATAATGATGAACCCTCAATTAAAGTGTTATTTAATTACTTTCTTTTTTATTTCAGTTCAGGAAAACAGAGAAGGGATTTCAAATTGGGTACCTCGTTACCATGATCCTAGGTGGATGTACCACGCACCATTAGAGAACTGGTTTTTCTCCTACTTCGGTTTTGAAAAAGTTCCTGTAATAACCTACACTGCATATCTTCCTTTTGCATATATTGACGATCTTGCAACATCAGCTCTGCAGGTTCCACTAGATGTAAATTATGTTTTTTAAATATATTTATATTCAGATATTTACATCCCTTTTGAATTGTACAAATAATGGAAAACAAATATATATTTTTTCATGTTTTCATCTCAAAATATTTCTGCTTTGGATTGGTCTATTGTTTTTAATGAATAAATAGGTAATCTTTTTGTTTGTTTTCAATTAGGAATGTTAATATAGAGGACAATAACCCTTAATCCTTAATTCAATGAAATGATTCTAGATTCCAATGTTTACTTTCTATGGAATCAAAATGTTTGTTCAGTATCATTAGTTCAGTGCCGTTTCTTGCAGCACATTTCCTAGTCTCCAGCTTTTAATTTTTTCAATATTAAGTCTCAAAATGCCTCTTAGTGCTGAGGATGTTGCGCGTGGTGTGGCACTTATTGATGATGGACGTTCCATTAGATATGCAGTTAATGCCATCGGAGTTCCATATGAAACTTTACGAGACGCCGTCAGGCGTTTTCGGGAAACTGGTTCTTACAATAGAAGGCCCGGTTCTGGACGGCCTAGGGTAACAGAACCTCGGGATGACCGGTTTTTGACTTTGAGAGTTTTACGAAACCGGCATCTTACCATTTTTCAAGCGATTCCTCAGCCCGAAGAAGTTCGAGGTGTGCAAATTTCTGAACGTATCGCTCGGAGAAGATTAAGTGAGTATGGATTAATGGCTTTTCGTCCAGTAAGAGGACCAGAGTTGACCAGAACTCACAGAGTAACACGGCTGGCTTTTGCTCGAGAATACAGCCATTGGACTATGGACGAATGGAGTGCTGTACTTTTTACAGATGAGTCAAGATTCGCTCTTCGATCTCCAGACGGGCGTGAAAGGGTGTGAAGAAGAAGAAACGAAAGATATGCAGCCTGTAATTTTTCCCAGAGCCAACCTTTCCAACGTGGTTCCTTAATGGTGTGGGCTGGGATTTCAATGGATCGCCGCACAGAATTGGTTATTGTTCGTGGACGGTCTTTGATGGTCATTCGCTATGTAGATGAGATTTTGGAACCTCATGTGTTGCCTATCCTCAACGAAATCGGCGGTCGTTCTATTCTAATGCACGCCCACATGTCGCCCGCATAGTGCAGACGTTCCTTCAACAGAACAATATTGAGGTTCTATCCTGGCCAGCACGTTCTCCAGATTTGAACCCCATTGAGCATTTATGGGATAACCTCGGAAGACGAATAAGAGCGTGGGCAACACTTCCTGATACACTGCAGGGCTCTTCGGGAGGAATGGGCTATCCTCCAGCAAAGGGATATTTTCCTACTGGTGGAAAGTATGCCGAGGCGTCATCAAGAAGTAGTGAAGGCAAGAGGAGGAAACACGAGCTACTAAACGATGATGTAATTAATTTCTTTTAGAATAATAATGGTTCGCTTTTCAATTTTTTTTTCTCTAATTTTTCTTACCCAATCACATTTTGATTATTAAAGGTAAAAAAGATTATAAAATTCCATAAATACTAAGTATTATCTACAAATACCATGTATTATATACAAATACAACTTTACAGATATATCATAGAAATAGGCAATGGGTGGAATTTTTTGCCTGTCAGTATATATATATATATATATATATATATATATATGATAGTCATTTTATGTTATTTCACAATAGATATTATAGATACCTAAATTTTTCTTAATTTTAGGATTCTAGATACTATATGCTGATTCTACTACCACAAAAAAGATATGCACTAGAAAACCTTCTCATTTCACTACAATGGTGTCCGATTCGCGCGATAATTAATCAATTAAAGCTAACGGCTGTTTTTGCAACTGTTCCAGTTTTCAACATCGTAAAACATGTTAATTTAGTCCCAGCATTAGCCAAAGTAAGCATTTTCCTAGCCATCTTTCGAACAAATCATTTCCAATATGTATAAATAATGCAATTTATTCGATTTCAGTTAGGAATACTCAGCGTATTTAATCCTTCAACAGCTGATCTCAGTGCTATGTCCTCTGAAAAAGGAATATTTGTGAGGACCATTGAACAAGTGGTTACTGTTTCCCTCAGGAGATACATGGCAAACCAACGGGGTAAGTTGAAACAATAACACAACTTAGTAGGATTAACATTTACATCACAAACACGTCAAAATTTAAGGTGTAAAAGATGTTAAGACCAATAAAGTTTCAATCAAAAGCCTAATCTTAAATTATATAAATTTCTTAAATTGTGTGTATTTTGTTAGTAAAATTGTTATCTTATTATTAATTAAAAAATTAATAATGATTTTCAGATATCAAGAATATCCATAAGCTAAACAGTTTATATAAATTATAATATTTCAAATAATAACAATTGAGATATTTTTAATCCATTAAATTCCAGTTCTTCAAATCATAAGAACTCTTTCTATCATCACTTTCACACTGTAAAACGAATCATAATGAGTACCCAGAATTCAAGAAAGCAATCACGCTCAAAAAGTTTAAATAATAATTGAAATGTATTAAAAAGAGTTAAGGAAAGTCGTCATCTAACCTAGTTAATATGCAGCTCATAATCAACATAATATATACATACATATATATATATATATATATATGTGTATACATATATATATATATGATATATACATATATCATACATACATATACATATATATCAACATACTATATATATATAGTAAAACAATATAATACTATAAATAAAAATAAATTTGTATCTATGTTTATACATTTTTTTCAGAATGTATGAAAAGGAACTTCAGAAAATTCTTGGGCCCAGGAGCGCTCAATCTTTAAATCCATTCAAACGAATAAAACAGTTTACCGCAGCAAGATTGTTAGATACTGGAATCAAATATTTCCTCAGATTCGCGAAATATTTTTTTTTTATTCACGTCCCCGACCATTTCTGGCATACGGGAATATCGACAGCTTTGGGGTAGTGGGCACAATTTTTATTTGTTGTATGTTAGTTCTTTATTTTATAGATGCAAGGATATGTATTTGTTTCTATATATATATATATTGAACGTCAGTTCGGGTCTGTGTTCATTTTTAATCCTATTAAGTTATACACTCCCTATAAAAGTGATTTTTTGTATACTCGTGTAATTCCTATTTAGGAATACTTTTACAAATTTCGGTGGTGTTCTGAAGAGTGTAAGAGCAGCTGTGAAGGAATACATGAAGAGGTATTTCGTTGGAAGTTTGCAGCCGTTATCGCTAAAATCTGCAAGAAATTTCCTGTCAGCCCCCTCTTCTGTCTCAGTCTCATCACAAGCAGGTCTCCAGCAAAATGGCCGGTGAAGTATTGGATTTAAATTACGCTATCAAGACTTTAAAGGAGGTTTTGGATTACAATCTCTTGAGAAAAGACCTGCGACCGAAGGTAGGAAAAGCTATCGAAGTGATGGAAAAATATGTAGGTAATCTTTGTGACCAATCATTTAGTTTGGAAATCGGGGAGGTTATTAAAAAAGACAACCTCTCTTTAAATAACAAAATTAGTTACTCAGCAGTTGCCCAAAGGGTTGTAATGAAAGCACAAAATCGAACAGCCCATAAGGCAATTATTAAACCTAAAATATCATTAGAACCGAATGAACTTTGTAACGAATTTAAGTCTTTAGTAAATCCAAAAGATTTACACATAAGTTTTCAAAAGGTTGTAGAAACAAAAAACGGATCATTAATAATACAGACCGACAGGGAGAAAGATCTCAACGAAATTGCTCAAACTATAGAAGGCTCAAGAAAAATATCATACCATAAAATAAATAAAATGAACCCTCGTGTTGTTGTGAGAAACATTGAGGAAGAAATAAATTTACAGAATATAACCGACTACATAACTGCTCAAAATGATGATATTCATTTACAAAAGGATAAAATAAGACCTGTGATTATCCTCACTACAAGAAAGAATAGTAGTCGGCATGCTGTTTTGGAGGTTGACGCAGGGACTCGAGAATTGCTATTATATAATAAAATCAGCCTCGGACATCAAAAGGTGAGAATTCAGGATTATTTCCAAATAAGAAGGTGCACCAAGTGCCTTAAATTTCACCATAGAAGCAAGGATTGCAGAGGGACGATAGCATGCTCGAACTGCGGAGGTCAACACGCGGTTAGTGACTGCACTTCTCAAGAAATGAAATGTATCATTTGTCAAAACTACAACAAGTTCACTAAAAGCCAAAAGAAGCGCCCCACAGAACATTCTGTATTTGACCGAAACTGCCCGTCGTACTTGACAGAAATACAGAAATTGGCATCTAATACCAACTACAACATCCCTCTACAGTGAGTAATTAATAACCATAATATATACATATTTCAAAATATTATTGGGGACTGTAAACAATTAATTTTTAAGGATGGTACATAGACAATTAAACATGTTACAACTCAACACACATCATTCAAAATGCACATTGAACATGCTACAACAGTATATAAAAATGAAACAAATAGACGTTTTATTAATCCAAGAACCTTATACAAGATTAAATAAAATTGTAGGTTATAATCAGTCAAGGGTTTTTCAAACAATAGGAAGCAATCCCAGGGCTGGAGTCGTTGTGACCAATAAAAACATTGATGCCTGCATGATATTGCAACATTCTGATTGTGATTTTGTTTGCATAGAAATATCATACAGTGAATTAAAATGTATAATAATATGTGCTTATTTTGATATCACCCGAAACATAAATTTGGATTTACAAAAAATAGAACGCGTTTTGGATTATTTCAAAGATTCTAATATCATTATTGGATTGGACTCCAATGCAAGATCTAAATATTGGTTCGACAAACAAACTAACGAAAGGGGTAAAAATATGGAAACTTTTATTATTGAGAAAGATTTGTTCTTAATGAATATAAATTCCGAACTAATGACTTTCCAAGGGCCGCGAGGCAGTAGTAATATTGATTTAACATTATCTAATACAAAACTGATTAGACATAATATTGTAAAAAATTGGACAATTTCTAGAGAAACAAATTTTTCGGACCACAACATTTTGACTTATGAGTTACATTTACAGGGAAATGATAAAACTGGAGTGCTAGCAAAAAACTATATATATTTGACAGAGAATGGTGACTGGAATAAATTCTTGGCTAACTTAATACATCAGTTAGAAAAACAGTTTTTATCTCAACATTGTACTGATAAGAAGAAATTGACAGTTTATGATACCGAAAAGCTGATTCTTAATGAGTTTTCTCTTATGCCTACTGATATTATCATAAATAAAATGATAAAATCTATCGTAAAATCTTGCAATATAGCATTCAAAAGATCCGGCCATTTCAAAGGTCGAACTAGAAAAAGATCAGTACCTTGGTGGAACCCTGAACTAACTGGCTTGCGTAAAGAGACTAATCATCTAAGAAGAAATTACCAGCGGACAAAAGACGATGGACTAAGGGAATCAAGGAGAGTGATCTATCTCAAAAGTAGGCAAGCATATCAAAAGCTAATTAAAAGTTCCAAATTAAAGTCCTGGAAGACATTTGCTACTGCATCAAAGGCGTGGCAATGGCCATATAAGTTTGTATCCAATAAAATAAAACCTCAAACCTTACTCACTACCACTTTGAATGAACTAGGAACATACACAACAGACACTAAGAATACATTATCTCATATATTAAATAAGATAATCAAAGATGACAATACAAGTGATGACACTAACGAACACAGACAAATGAGAACAGAAATACTTATCCCGCCTAATAATGATGATGACACTAATATCCGGGATTTTGAAATATTACAAGTTATTAATAAATTGGATGACAAGAAAGCACCAGGAATAGACAAAATTGACCCAAGAATGATAAAAAAGATAGCTGACTCCTTTCCAAAATTGATAACTGGACTTTATAAAACCTTATTCAAAAGAAATGAATTTCCTAAAAGCTGGAAGGTGGGTAAATTAACATTGATTCCTAAGGCTAATTCATTTTCACTGAGACCACTAAGTATGCTTCCTGTAATGAGTAGAATTTTTGAAAAAATAATAAAAAATAGATTAATGCATCATCTACTTAGTAACAATATACTCCACCGACACCAATTTGGATTTAGACCCCAATCAGGAACTGACGATGCACTCAGTGAATTGAACGACCATATCACCAGTACACTCCGGCAAAATAGTAATTTACTGGTTGTTTCTTTGGATATCGCGGGTGCCTTTGACAACGCCTGGTGGCCTGCGATTTTAAATAATCTAAAGAAATATAAGTGTCCAAAAAACATATACAAAATCATTCAAAATTATTTTTCTGACAGAAAACTTGCAATCCAAACAAACTTTCATTATATTGACAAGAAATTGACGCTAGGAACTCCTCAAGGATCAGCACTATCACCTATACTATGGAACATCTTAATCAATACTGTTTTCGAAATAGACCTACAGGAAAATTCAACATTATTAGCATACGCAGACGATTTATTATTACTTATAAAACGAAGAGATTTCGATGAATTACAGACAATAGCAAACATAACATTATCAAGGCTGAGACGATGGACTAGACGCAACAAACTTAAATTTAATCTAGACAAGACAAAATATATAATCTTCACAAAAAAGAGAATTGTACCAGAATTGGATATTCGACTCAATACAGTAAGAATAACGCAATGTGATACATTATCATATTTGGGGCTTCTCTTTGACAGAAAACTGAATTGGAACAGACATATAGATAATCTATATGACAACACTTTAAGGATTATAAATGGACTATCAGTGGCTGCAAGAGCGACATGGGGACTCAGATCGAAAGTGTTAAAGGAAATTTATGAAGCTGCTGTACTTCCTAAGATGCTCTACGCTGTGCATGTCTGGCATCCGGCCGTTGAACGTAAGAAAAATTTGGTGAAGTTGGAAAGGCTTCAGAGGTTAATTGCGATTAAGATATGTAAGGGCTATCGTACACTATCATTCGAGGCCACAATATTATTGGCAGGGCTGTTGCCAATCCAAATGAAGATTGAAGAACGAACGACCTTATATAACATTAGAAAAGGAAAGAGAGGATACAAAGACCTGACCCTAGACAAAATAGAAAGAATCACTGACTGTAAATCTTGGTTACACCCTGCAACAAGTTTATGGACTGGACCGGGAATTACTTCTGAAAATACTGATGTTTTCACTGATGGTAGTAAGGACGGCGAGAATGTTGGATGTGCATGGTTGTTCAGAGCTCAAGATGGTAGGAATATAGAACATCAATATAAATTAGAATCATATTGCTCAAATAATCAGGCAGAAAAATTCGCTGTTTTAAAGGTTACTGAATACATATATGAATACCCTCTACAAACGAATACTCACGTTACTATAAATACAGACAACAAAGTTCTGCTAGACTCTGTTAATAATTGGGACATTCATGATTACTTGACTGACCAAATTAGAAACAAATTGTTAATGATGAGAACTGTAGGGAAAGTAGTGACTCTAAAATGGGTAAAAGCACATTGTGGGATTGAGGGCAATGAACGAGCCGATTGCCTTGCAAAAGAAGCAGCTAAAAGCGATTTGCCGCCATCGTATCATCAAGCTCCTTTATCGTATATTAATATGAATTTAAAGTTGGATTTCATCAAAAGATGGGATCACATATGGGTGACCTCAGCTAAGTCACCAAGCTTACACAGATTTATACCACACATTTCAATTCACAATTACAGACACATTCACAGTAATGACTACAAACTTACGCAAGTACTTACGGAACATGGGAATACAAAACAATATCTTAAAAGATTCAACATTATACAAACAGACTTATGTGATGAAGACGGACAGGTTCAAAATTTTAAACATATAATATATGAATGTAAACGATTTGACAGACAGCGATTTGAGTTAATAAAAAGCATAATTATCAAAAGAGGAAATTGGCCTGAGACGGAACAAAAGTTATTTACTGAATTCAAGACAGACTTTCTTAGATTTATTAGATCGATCGACTTCGACTTACTAACCAGGGATGGGCAGCGTGGGTGATTTCTTTTTGGCTTTGTTGGATTGACTTTGTGTGTTTAATATTTAATTTTCCGATTTAATTTTTGTGTGTTTATTTTTTGTGTTTTTTTTTGTTAATGTATATAAATTTGAACTAAAAATGTAAATCATGTGAAACTAGAAAAAAAAAAACAATTGTAAACAAATGTAATTCATGTAGTATGTCTTTAAGGCATGGAGCATGAAGGAAAATCAAATAAACGATCCTTGTGTGGGGTTACCACGTAGGGAAAAAAAAAAAAAAAAAAATATATATATATATATATATATATATATATATATATATATATATATATATATATATATATATATATATATACATATATATATATAAGTACAATAAAAGTAGGTTTTTTCTGTGGCACAATCCAGTGCACGACTGTGCACCTTCCATGGTGGGACTGTCTCTAAATATCCTCTTTTGAGTCCAGCGGCTTTCAGGAACAACCGGGACCTTCACTCAGAAGGAGCGTAGGGCCAGAGCCACGTAAGCAGGTCTTCTTCCATTTCCATCTTAGACAAGTGCACAAGTACTCTCCAGCACAACGTCTTGTTTCATCTAGCGCCTCTCCAGACATCATACAATTCTTGCACTTGAGTAGGGGACTGCTAACCTTATGCCTTATGCCCGTACTTGCCGCACCATCTGCATGTAAGGTTCTCACATTTAACTATGGTATCGCCATATTCCAGGAATTTAGGGTACAGAAGAGCATCCAAACAGTCTCCAATAATCAACATCCATTTCTCGATACCATTTCTTCTAGCGCCTGGTAGAGCTCGGGTCGGGTTACACTATCGTACGCAGACTTATATCCAGACTTAAATCCAGAAAGACGTGGTGCGTAACCATCCTATACTCCTTGGTTTTTTGCAGAATCATTCTCAGGGAGATCTTGTCCGTGGTTGATCTGTCCCTTCTCAATCCAGCCTGGTAATTGCCTATCTGTTTTTCACCATGATGGCGAGTCTCTCGAAAAGGATGTTTGACAACATCTTGTAGGCACTCGAAAGGAGGACTATACCCCTGTATAAAGACTATACCTCCGTTTAGTCGCCCTTCTCGTGAAGTGGACAAATAACTCCTTGCCTCCAACCATGTGGCATCCTTTCTTCTTCCCATATTGTAAAGATGAGGTTGTGGAGGTCCTTCATAAGTCCCTTGCCACCGTAGCGAATCATCTCCACCTGTATACCGTCTAGTCCCGGGGCTTTGTTATTCTTTAGTTTTATAACGGCCGCCTCGACTTTATCCTCGTCTGGTAGTTCTGCATCATTTCGGAGGTCTTCCGTCCTTGACATGATGCTGGCTGGCTCCCTCTTCTGCGTCGCCTTGATCAAGGACTTTTCCAAAGTACTGCATCCATTTCTCCAGGATTTCTCCCTTTTCCGTCAGAAGATTTCCATCTGTATCCTCGCAGGAGGTGACCCTCGATTTAAAAACCGATCTTCCTTCATTTACCTTCTTGAAGAATAAACTACTTTCATGGAGAGTTCTGTGGGTCTGAACGTCCTACATTCTTTTGTTCTCTCATGTTCTCTCGCAAAGAAATTAAAATTTTGACAAGTTATACAGAAACTCCACTGCAGCAATGTTTAAACTTGGAAGAAAAATAGACGAAATTATAATTCTCCATGTTGAACCATAACGCTGAAAAGGCTTCAGAATTCAACAATCAATTGAACATTTATTTAGATAACACTATCCATACATTGGCTGTGCAAGCTAATAGGTTGAGAAGAAATACTTCTGGACATAGGCGTAGACTCTCAATTCTGGTTGAGGAGGGGACGATGGATCCCTCCAAGAAAAATAATACTCTACAGATTTCAATATGTTACTCTAGAGATTTCATAAAAATAATATTCTGCATATTTTCTTTAAATTAAAAAGATATTATCTTGTATTTTAATTATTTTTTATTTTATTAATTATACTAAATTATATATTCTGAATTTCTAATTTGCTTTTAGTTCTGGACGTGCAACCTGATGAAGTGGAGCACCAATTCATTGCAAACCACCCATTCGCCTACTTCGTCATCGACAAGGAGACCGATGTGGTCCTAATGACTGGCACAATTGTAAACCCAATAGCTTACAATCAATGAATGATTGATATAAGTCAAGCGGCGATGTTCAATGGACGATAGATTAGTTTAACTAGAGCTACATGGTCTTTCATTATAGATAGTGCAGAAGTCTGGATATAAGAGATAAGACGATGGGTTGGTTCCAATAATAGGTTTATCATCTAATTAGATATTAAGTATTAATTTTAATGATGCCTATAGACTTGGGAACCGAACTGTTCGCGAACGGCAAGCTTGCCAGAAATAAAATACTATTTTTGTAATAAAGTAATAGGCCAATAGATCACCGAGCTATCAACATTATTCTATAATATTATAAAATTCTATAGCTCTATAAAGGGCCATTCTCTTACATAAAATTTTTAAATTTTATTAATTTAAGAATATGAAACATACATCGTATTTATATACGTAATAATTGTCCAATGCCTTAGCTACCTAGCGCAGTTCGAGCGATTTGCTTCAGGCGAATCCGGCTCAGAAGAGGCACCAATCTGAGAGGAAAAAAAAACACACCAAGATGACACTGATCATAAAATTTTATAAACTTGAGGTAGCTGAAACGTAATACAATAGTAAAATAATGTCGCTTGTTTGGAAATCTCACGGTCCATTTCTTTATTACAACATAATCAAGGTATATGTTAAATTAAAGACTCATGGAAAGAAAAAAAAAAAAAAATACATACTGCCAGGAGTTTCTGATGAACGAACAGATTTATACAATTTGCGAAACTTCGGCATCCTTGATTTTATTACCTTTTCTTAACCAGTTTTTATTTAATTAAGAAGTAGTAACAATACTTAATAATTTTATAAAAATAAGAAAAGTTAATGAAAAATTGACATTGCTCTCTCTCTCTCTCTCTCCCTCATACTGTAAATATTACCAGACAACGAAGTAATTAAGAAGTTGTCAATTTCCTTTAACATATTTTATTTTATAAAAGAATAAATTCATATATATTAGTGGAAATCTCTAAGTTTGTTAAAAACAATTATTCCTAGAATAATTTCAAATTTCTTTGAAGTGTTCTTTTTAATTATTATATTTAATCAATTTATGATTTATTTTGTAATAGTTGCAATTTCTGTTTTTCGTAAAAACGTAGATTGTTCATATTATTTTTTCTTCAACTTGATGGACTACAGTTTCTCCCATAAAAACAGTGTTTTCTGCAAAAATAATGACTGTTAACTATTATAAAGCTTTAATTTTTTCGTGGTCTAGTTAATAAATTAATTATTAGAATACACTAAAATATGTAAAATAAAATATTTAATCTATGTTATATTAAATGATTTTTTTTTATATTGATATAAAATAATAACGTGTAATAATAAATAATATGTAATAATAATAATAAATATTTCTGGTTATGTTATAATTTTAATTCAATTTATAAGTTTCATTATTTTTTAAAAGAATAATTTAAGTTTTTAAAACCTAAATTGAATATTTTATTTTACACAATTTTTAAGTAAATAAAAACTTGTGTTTTATTAATTTATTTATTAAAATATATTCCAGATCATCGTAAAAAAAAATCCTTGTAATAACTTATGGTAGTTTAAGAGTATTATAAGTAATATATTTTAAAATAAATATTATTTCATAACGTTAACTCGTTTTGCCGATTGTATTTAGGCCAAAACAAAAAAAAATCAGACCAAGAAAGATTTTTTACTTAAAACTAAAAATTTTGTACACAAATTTCTGACAGAAGCAAATATTTTATTGCCCTCACCCAACTTTGAAACACAAGAATTCACATTACATAATAGTTATAAAATCGGGAGATATTCTTGGGTTATTATTTTACAGACCTCAACTTAAGAAAGACTTAATACTTATTAAACAAAACCAGGAAGGTCACACTTTTTTTTTTAAAGTGTACAATTCGTAGTTCTACTGGAGGTTGATAAAACCAATCGTGAATAATACTTCATTTTACGAAAAACAGAAATTATCCGCTTGAAAACTTCTGTAAACGATATTAACAAAAACAAATTCTATTTGTTTTTGAAGAATTTTTTTTGTTTTAAGAATGTTGCAAATGGAAGTTACCAAACTTAAATACTTGTTTAAGTTATCGCTTCACAATCAACAATTAATGTGATAGCTTGTTTTCAATTTGCTACTTCCCTATTGACACTGGCCCATATTTCTATCAACTATTCTATTGTATTTGAAGTCTGATATGGCCCTAAATTTCTAACTTCATTTACATTACATCCTGTACCGGTATTTTTATACATACTTATGTTATACATAGAACATAGAAAATAATAATAGAAAAAGTCTAAAAAGAAATAAATGACAAAATAAAAATAAGAGGACTTACAATTTTGAAAAAAAGAAGATAGAGTACAAGATTTTAACTGGCACGTAATAGTTGAAAATCAACATCGTTAAAAAACAATCGATTAGTGAAGCATAGAAGTATCTATTTTATATAATCTCGATAAGAATTAAAATTTCTTTTTGTGTTAGATATAAACAGTTTTTATTTTTTAAAAAATTAGATTCAATTTATTTTTTTCAATTCATGCATTGGTAAATAAAATCAGTTAAACCAAATTTAACTCAATTATTATTTCGAAAACGAAACAAAAAACAACTACACAAGTAATTATTTGTAAACCCAAAAATATATCAGCTTACCCAAAATTGTTTGGAACATTATTATTATTTACTGTAGGTTGTTAGTTTAATATTTCATATTGCTAATTTTAAGAATGTTTTGGCTCCCAAGTGTATATACATCTGATCATTTTATACAGTTATTTATTGAATTAAAAACAGTAGTCATGTATGTTATTACATTGTATTCTATTAGTGTTATTATATATTCACTCTACAATAATTTAAAAAAGAACCAAAAAGGTCTTTACCACTTATAAAATTGAAATATAGTTTGGGCATAAAAATACTCTGAAAAATCACTGATAAAATTGGATATACAGATTTTTTCGATATAGTTTATCTTCAAATTCCTTTTGTGTATTCAAACATTATTATCTGGTGTTTGAAAACGTTGAGAATAAGCATATGTATATTTAGCAACATATGAAACCTAATATGCACTTCATTTTTTACCTTTTTACTATTAATAAGTTATAAAGAACATTTTATACCCTCTTATTAAATCTCTGAAAATTTGAATCCTAAATCCCATAGGAAATACAGTCAACTGAGGTGAGAATGGCAAAAACCTATTTTTTTCTTTGGACCCTGCACACATACCTACTGTCCGACTTAAAAAAATGCCCTTTTAGGATGATGCTTCACAGTACCTGTTGTTACATTTCCAGATTTTCTATTCGGTACATGTGAATGAGAAAACATATATCAATGGCCTTATATTTTGGATGAGAATAACCACAGATTGTTTTCATACAAACTTAAATATTTTAAGTGGAGGATGGATATAGCCAAAAGAATTAGCTTTTAAACTTCCAAAAATGTTAATTTAATTCATTTATCAACATGTTTTCTAATCATAATATTGATTTATAGAAACAAATAAATAAATATAGGAACATTTAAAGAATCAAATTTGACAAAACTTAACAGAAAAAGTTAAAAATATTATTTTAACTAGAGACAATGAAAAGTTCTCTCAGAACCTTAGGTACATCTATAACTGATTTAAAAAAATCAAAGCTAATGAAATTAATCTTTTGGAACTTGAACCAAAGATTGGGGAATGACTTGTAAATAAATTTAAAATTCATTAAGAACAAAAACTATTTTAAAGCACACGAGGAAATCGAAGAATTTTTATTTTTGTTATAATATAATCTAAGCCATCCTTCTGTCTTTTATTGGAGCAGCTGGTCTTTTCATGGCATATTTTTAAGATTCTGACGGTGAGAAAAGCCATAAATTTCATCACTGGACACAATTTGTCCTGTATATAGGTAATTCTTTAAACTTTCGTCTGAAAGATTATTTACAATAGTGGTAGTGTTACCGAGTTGAGATTTATTGATGGTTAACTTTTTGTTAGTTAGAGAAGGGTACCAACCAGTTTATAGCAAGATTGTGCAATAGACTTTATATCACAAAAAGATTTGTCGCAAAATTTTAACACATTTTTATTATATCATCAATACAAATGTTAACTATTGAATCTAAAAATCACCACTTTAATAAGATTATCAATTCAGCCCAAACAACGATGATGTTTTAATTTCAGCACTAATATTTATTTTTATTAATGATTTAAGATTTTGTATTCGCTGTTTAAAAATATTTAATTATAATTGCTAGAACGCAAGATTGAAAAAATGGCTATTTTTTATATTTGATAGCATTTGTATCGACAATATAAGTATGTGTTTTTTTTTTTTAATATACAGATCTTTTTAATGAATTTTCCTTATAAATTGTTTATTGCCAATGATTATGTAATAATATACTGAAGAGGGGAAAATCTATTTTTAAGTTTTAAATGTTCCAGCTTATACTAGAAGATATAGACATTGGTCTTTCAGCATCAAGGCACAAACATATAATTTATATTAGAAGAAAAAATGTACAATAAGTGTGTTTATAACACACACGCATACACATTAGCATACCATACATAAGCCTAATTTTATAATAGAAGCACTGCCTTTTTAAGTCTAAATTGTTAGTAACTTGATCTCACCCTGTAAATAAGTAACTCCCTAGTATTAAGTAAAGTTATTTTTATTAGTACATACATGTTTTTTTAAACTTTGATCTTTTCGATATAAGTGTTAGTATATAATATTTTTATACTGATGTATGTGTATAAAATAAATATTTATTTTATAAAGAGTAAATATATAATGCAAAAGTGGATTAAAATCCACAAATGAAAATAAGTTTAATTTTATTTTTTTATACCTAATACCTACTCTAAATAGTAAATTTTAGTTTCATGGATATAAAAAATACAAACATCAACAATGATACAAATACAAACAGGCACATGATTTTTTTTGTAATGAATGGAACACATTTAAAGAAGTGAAAAGCTGTGAAAGCTAATTTTCAAATTATAAGCTTAACAAATTTAAATTTACTATATTATCCACAAACTATCTTCAAACCTTAATTAATTCTAAAGTTCCAAATTATTTCAAACCAAAGTAACTACACATAAACTAATTAATGTATTTAACACTTACAGACTCTAATTAAAAATAAACGATCTTTACTGAATTTTAATATTCATATGTACTCCAATTACAGCAGACATACTATATATATACTATAATTACAGGAGAAACGCAAGTTATCAGAAAGAGTACATTTAAGACATAGTAAGAAAATTGAGATTGCTTAAATGAATCTCCAATGAAATAAAAGTAAAACAACTCAGAGTGGATTTAAATTGATGCTACATCAAACTAGCAAAAGACATTAATAATTATCGTCCAATCAATTCCAACAGAACATTAATAATAATTAAAACAATTAATATTAACAGATTAATAATAATTAAAATAATTAATAATTAAAAATAATCCCATCCAAAAAACAGTCAAATTAGCACAAAAAACGGGGTCTTGCTTGCAAAAGGGTGGGCCATTCAAATTTCTATTTTATACTGTTAGTTATGTAGTGGATATAAAAAATCCAAGTTTCCGCCCTTGAAAGCCTTGTGGGTTTGCTGCGGAACTCAAAAAACCGTTGAAGTTTCAAATTTATTTTGGTTTATGCTAAATATCTTCTTTTTAAAGTGACATAGATAAATAATGGTGATACTTAATCTTTAACAGGTTGAAATTATTTAACGTTTTTTTCCTAACCCAACAGGAAGTGGACTATTGAGCTTTCAAAATGGGTAATGTTTTGGAAATTGCAAAAAACATACATAATTGTTTGTTTTTATAGGTGATATAGTTCAAATTTTTAAATTAAATATTAAAGCATACAATTTTTACTACAGCATTTAAAGTAAACATATTTTTCTAAACTTAACAAATTAAATACAAATCGCTAAAAAGAAATAGATGTTTTGAAATTCCAAAAAATCCTTATAATTTTATTTTTACTGCTTTCCACTTATATCACTAGCGGATCCAGGATTTAATTTTGGGGGGGGGCTTCAGCCCGAAACCTTTTTTTTCCATAAAAATAACGATAATTACTTTGGAAAAACAGAAACAAACTAACTACCTATATGAAACGGTGTTTAAGTTATTCCTTAAGTACTTTTAAATGTAATTACACGAACAATAATACTTTAAGAGGTATTTTTTTAAATTTTTCCCCCATAAAACATGGTTATATTTTTCCATTTTGGGGGGAGGGGGCTTCAGCCCAAAAGCCCCCCCCCCCTAGATCCGCCCGTGACTTATATTAATGAAATTGATAATCAACAATTACTATTTTTCTTGTTACTTTTAAATGAACTTTATTCTAATATATTCTTTAAAATATACCCTCCCTTCCCAAAAAAAATATAATTTACTTCTGAAGTTGTTTTATATCATGTAATATTTGTATTTAATTTCAATCAACATTTCTCTAATGCAGTTGCTTTATGGATAAGCTAACATTAATTATTTTAATACACTTTGCATTTTTAAAATTTTTAACAACTGGCAAGAACCCCAGAAGATCAGCTGGCGCCTCTCTAGGTCGGCACCCAGGGGCGATTGCCCCAGCCTAAGGCTGGCACTGAGAAGATGTCATATACCTTTGGCCAGCTAACACCCTTCAACAAAATGATTGAGAAAGAAATAGATAGGGAAATATCAATTGCATGGAAAAAATACTAGTCTTTAAAAATTATCCTGAAAGGAAATTTCTCTGTACATCTGAAGGCTAAAGTTCTTGAAACATGTATTGTACCAAGTCTCATCTTTTCATTGGCCCCATATTCCAAACATGGATCCTAACAAAGAAATACATAAATAGATATCAAGTTGTTTAAAGAAAAATTGAAATAAGTACACCGAATATAAAATAAAAACTGAGAATATAAGGCACGGAACTAAAGTTAAGGACATCAATGAGAGAACAATAATTATATAACAACAGGTACCTACATTGAATTTTTTGTTATGGATATTCACGTTTGATGTATTGAGATTTAACAGTAATAATTTTCTGAACTGCTGAGAAAAATTAGAAAAGGAAATGGTTAGGGTTAGGATAAAAAATTATTATAATATGGATTACTAAAGAACAATTAATAATAAAAATAAAAATATAAAAAATATTTTATTAAATAAATAGCTATATATTTTCTTATTTTTTAATTAATTAGTCTTTTATTTAAGAGCCTTTTCATTTCACTATAGGCATCTGGATTTTCAGCTCCTGAAAAAAAAAAAAAAAATGAATTAAAGCTTTACTTAAAATATGGATTACATTTGTAATCATTCAAGCTAATTGCTTAATTAGAAATAAAAAAATTGATTAAAACCAGTACAATAAAAAATGTGCATGAAATGGAGTATTTATTTATATATTTAACATTGATTAGGAAATTAGTTATTTATGTTCAGATTTTGCCACGTAAATATAGACTGAGTAAAAACACAAAATAATTCTCTTTTCAGCTGATCTGGAAAAGGAGAAAGTTTTTATCTGGATAGAAATTATTATTATAATTGAATACTTAATGGTTGACAGTTGTTTATTTTAGAGGAAGGAGATGGTCCAGGGTGGCCATCATAAAGAGACTAAAATAATGGAAAAAACTATTATATTATAATAGATTTTCCACTATTTTAGTCTCTTCTTTATGACCGCCACCCCAGAGCATCTCCTTCTTCCATATTATTATAATTATTTTTACTTGGATTTCTAGGCATTTCTTCTTTTGATTATACATATAACTGAGAAAGTGTGAAATCATAAACTTTAAAACTGAATAATATAGTTGGTTTATTACAAAAACACACTAAGTATATTTTAGACAGAGCTAATCTTTTATTTAAATTTTGGGGGATGTCAATATTATTAATTGGTAAAAAAACACAGTAAGTGGACCAAAATTAAACAAACCCTTCCGTACACAATTTTCTGATTTCATAGAAGAAAACTTTATATGACTACTCAGGGATTTAATTTTATGAAATTTTACTTGATGACTTTTTGCTGTAAACTTACAATATAAAGATCAACTTTAGTAAGGTTTGTTCAACATATCACTAGACAAAGGGGGCGGGGTGGCCGAATGGGCTAAAGCGTGTGCACAGCAACGCGAGTTGCCTGGCAACCGGATTACAGAATTGAGAAGATTTAAAAAGTATGAGTTCGCGTCCCGGTGCCGGAGTGGATTTTAAATTCCCTGCCCTCACCCCCCGGCCCGGGAAAATCCCGTATAGCCTAAAAGGCGAGGTAGGGAAGAAGAAAAAAAAAAAGAAAAAAAGAATATCACTAGACAAGAGAGATTTAAGAACTACAACCAAGATTAACTAACTACAGCTTGCATTAAACTTCTCAGATATATTTTTTTCCAATCCCTGAGATCAAAAATTCCTTCCTGTATAATTAATTTTCCCACTCCACTTCCCTCTGTCAACTCTTTATTTCATCCTAACAGTTTGTATAACGTCTCTTTTAGCAAGTCTATCGCTATCCATCTCTATCCACAATTTCTCCTTAAACACGGCTCCTTTTTTCACCATCTAGATCTTCAAACTACTGCACCAATGTATTTATTTATGCCTAAGTCAATACTTATTGCTCAGATCTGAATTCAAAATATATGTTGTATGAGCGTTTATAAAAATATAATAAAATTATGGTGATCTCAAAAAATTTATCCTTTCCAGAAACCTGGAAAATATTTCAATCCAATGTCATATGTAAAAAACAAATTTTTTACTTTCACTTTAAATAAATGATACTTCCTACCCTATTAATTACAAATTTAGTAAGAAAAAATATAGTAATCGTAAAAAATTTTGGATCCGAATTTTCAATGGAATTATTTTAATTAGAATAGTCCAAATAACTAAGTATAGCAAAATGGTTTGAGTTTTCAGAGAAACTTAAATTACGAATTTAAGGTATGTATGTGGTTGGGATGTTACAGCAACTTTTTCATCAAAATATGCTAACCTTAATTGCAACATTATATCATTGATTTTATAAATTTTTACAATTTTCTAAAAAAACAGCACTTTTGATTAGTCTCAGGAAAGTCTTACCCACACAGAACGGAAACTAAATGAAATTTCTGTAAACACTAAATAGAAACTTTTAAAATTTATTTTTAACTTGACAAAAAATAGATGTAATGCATCAAATCAAGGCACTGCAAATGTTTAAAAAACTATTTCAAGAAATGGCTATGACATATGTTTATAACCTTAAATAATTTGGTAGAAAATAATTTCTTTTTGAAGTGAAAGTTTTGATGAACACACTCGATTTTTAAAAAATGCATTTTAAATTATTATTCAATTAAAACTATGAATTTCTGTTAAAATGATGACATATGACCTGCATTTATTTATTGTGAACTAAAAAGTAAAAAAGATAACAAATAATGTTTTGGGTAATCTAGATTTTCGATGTAATATATCTAAAGAAATAAAGTTCTATTGTACTATACTATTCACATAAAATTTTGTATGAAAATATATTTTGTTAAGATACACTACTGATCAATGAGGGATTCGGTTAGGGCATTATAGTTCTTAGTTGATTAAACATAAGAAGACACTAACTTATATTTACGACTCAGTTTCAGTTCATTATTACCTGGTCAACTCTAGAGTACTCTGCTGTTGTTTTAGACTGATCAATATTGTAGGGGAAATATATATCAACAAATGGTTCCTTCCTTTTTGTAGATATTAACACCAGTCTATCTTCTCCAACATCCAAAGCGATATCTTTCTCTGATGACTTAAAGAAAACCAAAAAGAGTTCACATCAATTATGATCATAATAATAATAATAAATGTATACATAATTAATAAAGTATGATATACTTACTACTTTAACCCTGACCTTCGCCAAAAGATACTGAGGATCACCTTCAGCTGGGTGCAATTCCAGCTTCAATTTCGGATCTGGCGTGATGTTGGGAGTCGAAGGATTGGAAGATGAGACTTCTTGAATGATAGGTGAAGGTGGAGGTTTAACGTCACGCTGTTGTATACGATGAGGCCTTAAGGTACCAAGTACTTTACGATTTTTCATAATAATAAAAGCTGGAAAAAAAAATCAAAATTAATTTATATGCTTCTTGTTTCTTTCAAAATGAATTAACCACGTACTTATATTTAATATTATCAACACTAGGGCTTGAAATGAATAGTTAACCTTCATTTTTACTCAGTTTTTAGTACTAGAATGTTTTTCACTTAACATTTCGATTAAAAGTTCACTTAAAGCAATTGATTTAACCAAAAAGTATATCTAAAAATGATAATTCTTAGCTACTCAGACAAAGGAACTTTTGGTTGATAACTTAAATAAAAGTTAAACTTTTACAATAAAGCCAAAACTGTATTATAAACAAGTTCCTTAGAACTTTTATTTTAAACACTTTTTTCTACAAAAGTTTCATTGGAATTATTAAAATGGAACTTTATAAAAACGTTTTACAGCCAGACCTATATAATTTGTATGAATACATATATGAGAGATGTATATACATAACATACACACAGAGATTTATATACAGGAAGAGATAGGGATAATCTTACGATTGTGATTGGACATGTTTATTTTAATGTTGTATTTCTGTTGGAGCCCTTCCACAACGATTGTCATGAAGAAGACTTGAAATAACTGGTTCTTCTCAATTTTCTCTATTAATGATGAATTGACAGCAACATCATACACTGAACATAAACCACCCGCTGAAAAATAAAATTAAAATTAGATTAAATATTTATATTAACCTCCTTAAAGTCATTGCAATAATTATCAGTCACATTATCCTTCATGGTGAATTTACAAATCATGCAAAAGCATATAGGAAAGCAAGAGTATATATCATAATAAATCAACAAAAAATAAAATAAATATAATCAAATAATTTATTTATAAATTATAAACACGTGGTGTAACAAGAGTTGCAGTTAGTTAGGTTTATATTACTGCAAGATTATTTTCTTTTATAATAAATCTCTCAGACCATCAACCCCCACATCATAATATTTAATAAAATGTTTGGTTTTGCTTATTTTAATTAATTCAATAACAGCTAAAACAGAACACATTATAACTAAGGAATAATATTTATTATTTCAAAAAAGGAATAAAAGAAATAAAAATTAATTTCATAATATTGACAAACCATTAAATACACATGCATGAACAAAAAAAAACATTACTCTATGATTTCAGTTAAAAATAAGGAAATATACTTACACTTATCAGGTTCTTTATGTTCATCAGCAATACTCATTCCAATGCGATAAGAAGAAGGGTCATCAGACTCAAGTAGAGCTATAAGTTCTTGATCGGTGATATCTTTAGGTGCTGGGATATAAACAGTATGGCAAATATTGACAAATACTTTGTCACCTTCAGGAGTGAACATTTTGACACATAATCCTGGGGAATTCAAATCGTATTAAATATTTGGCATTATAATACATAAAATTTGAAGATGTTTTAAGAGATATTAAAATAACATTCAAAAAGTTATTATTTGAAAAAAAAAATAGTAGTCATTGGATATGTTTACAATTAATAGTGTGTTAGTGTTATTGCTATAAAATTTCCAAGATTGCTTAACTTTTTATTTTATTATTATTAAAAAAAAAGTTTACCATACTCATATATATTGTAATAGTACTGTAAGAGTATATCTATATATTAGTTTTAAAGATTGTCCTTGTTATTAATAAGTATGCTGTGTATTTTGTTTATGAAAATAAAGTGTTTCTCTCTGAACAGGCAATCCTGACCTAGAGAAGAAACAATGCTATTTTTAAAATAACAATAGTTATATTTATTATCAAAGGAGGTGAAGATTTCGAAAATGTACTAATACCATTTCTTTTTAAATATTCGTGGAAAAAACAAAAATCTGTTCTGCATATTTTAAAGAACTTTTCGTTTACTAGATTAAAATGGATAGACAAATTTCAATAAAATCCAACCATTAGAAAACTAATATTTCAAATATTACTCTTGAAATTTTGTCATTTGGAAATCAATGCCTCAATTAACTGTACTAATAATGTAACCAAATTTATTTCAAGTAATAAAACTTTATATGTCACAATCGATTAATGACCAGTAAAGTTTTCTATCATTAATGCAAAAGGAAGATCACGTATTTGTAGTAACTTATGTAATGTAAAGATATGTAGTAACTTTAGATATGTATGTATTTACCAAGTGCTTGATAACTGAAAAATTAAATGATCCATTCGGAATATATATAATAGAGACCATTAAGATTCATTTTGAGACATATTGTGTAGACAAAATAAATATATAAGCAACCTGGTGAAGGTGTAACTCTTTTCCAAGGGACTCCATCGTCAACACCAACAGGTTTAGCCCTCTCTGCCTCAGTTAAAAGCTTACTAATAGCTTCTTCACTAAATTCTTCTTCACCGATTCCCTAAAAGAGAAACCAATTAATAAATGATGTCCCATCCAATTTGATGAGATAGATCAATATTTAGCATTAAAAAACAAACAAAAAATTCACAACCTTGTAAAATTTCACTTAACAATATTTGAGTATAAACAGTCTCAAACAGGATTTTTGAAGGGGTGAGAGCTTTGGATGTAAAAAAATAATCCTAGATTCATTTAAAGTGATAATTCTTTCCGTAGACAGTATGGCGTTTTCATGCAATGATCAAACAATTCTAGGCCATAGTAATCTTAAACTTATAAAACAAAACAAACAGTTTTGAATAATGGCCCTTTATTAAACAAGGTACAGAATAATATTAACAAATTAATTTAAATTAAGAAAATCATTACAACCGAAATTATAAAAAAAATCCTTTTTACATGAAAATAAGATTTTAAATTAATCATTAATACCTGCATGTTCAACTAGAAGTATGAATTTTATTTTTCAATGACACAGGAACAATCAAGAAGACAAATTCGTCAAAAGTTACTCTATGTTTGTCTATTATTCAGTTTAAAAAATGACCAAACAAACATTTGCTAAATAATAGAAAACTTCAGTGATTATTTAAATAATCTTTAATGAAATTAATTGGAATGAATGTAAACATTAAAACATAACCAATCTCAAGGCAAATACTACAATATAATGTTATTCTGTTGCCAGGGTAACAAATGATTACAAGTGTTCGAAATATAGGACTGAATATAGGAAGTTTCTGAACTCAGCGGTGAAATAATCAATGACAACATGAATCCATCAGACCATCTCTATACTCATCTTGTTATTCACCGATTGAATCACTGATTGCTCAAAGGTTCCATTGGAAGTTAGAACCTATGGATAGGGCACATTCCTAAAATTGACCTAAGTAACTTTAGTTTCTTGTAATACAATAATCATTTTAAATATACGATTTACGTAAATTCTTTCTTAATTTACTTTACATATTTAAATTAAATTTATTGCCCATTTATATTTTTCAAATAAAAAATTCATTAATAAGGTATTTTAGATTTTTTTTTTATTTTCATGTGTTATGTAACTTTCCGTGTAAAGTGGAAACTTTCAGCTGGAATCGCGCGCGCAGATGGTCTCTAAAGTCAGTGTATATCACTCATTATTGGATTTAATCGATGATGGATTCCATCGGTGGAAATAGCACTGGGTTTAGAAACTTGTCCGTACAAAGATACAGTTTAAAATAAAAATAATAAGAGGTTTTAGTGTACTAAAAAAATAAATAAAATTTAATAAACATAAAGTCGCACCAGTCTTAATAACCATCACTGTTGCTCACTCAATCGATTTTTATATTTTAATTGTATATCATTAACGTATCTCTAATTCAGTTGCTTTATTATCTCATACGCTTTTGTAATTTTTTACGATACTTAGCAAGCGATGGGCGTCCGAAAGTTCGGCGCACCCGGAAGTGTGACCAACCCCTAAAAGTCGATACTGGGAGAGAGAACCCGGCTCTTTGGTCTGACAAGGTTCTATCTAACTTTAAAAATTTTCGACTGAAATGAGATTGTCGGTGCTTTTGACTCTCCTTTAAGATTAAATGTCTTTTTTTTTTTTATGTTTCATTTTCGCTGAGTTCTTCTTCTTCGGTCTTCCCTCTAGATGGCTGTGTCGGGAAGTAAAAATATAAAATTAGTGGTCTTCCTTAGGTCCTCCGAACTTCCGAAAAGCTTGGTCATAAGGTCTGTGGGTTGGGGCCATATCTGCCATATCAGTTCTGCAGAATGTGATCTATCTTGAACCTCTTGAATTATTTCGCCTCTCTTCTGGTTAGCTTGAAATAATCCTCATGGGGATTGTGATTTTAACTTCGAGTTTTAACTGAATTCATCATTTATGTTTTAACTATTCTATATTTTATATAGAATCAGAGATAAAGTATTTTTTTTTTTTTATCAAACATCTTCAAAAGTTAAATTACTACCATCTAAAGAAATAAGGATAAAATTTATTAATGTTATTAATAACGGAAAAAAGAGTTAGCTAGCACATACAATTTTAAAACTATTACTGTCAAAACGTAACTTTATTTTTTTGTGGATTCTTAGAGAAACTAATGCTCATCTAAAAAATTGGCTTATGAATCAGCTAATGAAGGATGATTATGAAAAGAAACCGAAATAATGAGGAAACCCAAGGCTGCAACATGATGCTATTAGTTTTTGTTTATTTTATGATTTTATATATTTTTTTAGCATAGTTATATATTTTAAAGCACAACACAATTGTAAGATAGTCTTCTAACAACTGCCATAATCGTTAGTCACGTAGTTCACAAAAAAAAAAAAAAATTGGATAAAATAAAAGTTTAATTTTAATTTATTCAATTACCCGATTTATTTTTTGGTTTATATGCATCCTTTTTAGTGACCCTGAGAAGAAATTCTACTTTCGAAGGTCAATTACGTAATATTTCATGAGTTTAGCGCGTCCGAATCAATCGATAAATCGATAATAAATTAATAAATAATATCATTTATTGTTAATAAATAAATAAGAACTAACGAACACAAAATGTCGCTACTTGTTACCTAAGTGCTTCTCAACTAACATTTAAAACTGTTTATTTGTTATTTCATTTATGATACTTTCCTTTTTAGATAAATTAATTATAATTGTGTAATTAATTGTCAAAAATTGTAATTTGTGAAAAAAATACAAAAAAAAATAAATAATGAATATTACTAATTGAGGCACATACAGGAAAATATAGCATTATACAAATAAAACACATACTATGTTTGTTGAATCTTTCCTTCACATGCGGGATACGGACATTATATCGGTGAAGGACATACCAGGTAAATAGGTACTTATGAAAAATTAAGTCGTGACTCTTCAACACAGGTTTTTATGCTAATCTTTTGGTAATCATAGTGAAGCTTTGTGATAAAAAGGAAATGATTGAGGAACACATACCTTGAGGAAATGATAAATTCTAAAAATAAACAAGACAAAGTAACTTCGCAGCTTGTAAATATTTATCACGTTTCATCCCCTCTTTATTTAATGTGATCTAAAACTTATGAAAGAAAAATAACAATTAAACAAACGAAGGAATAAAATATTGGTACATCCAGGCTCGCCGTCAGAAGACTTAATTAGATATGACTAAAAAGTTTGTATAAATAAGAAATGTATACACTAATAAGAAATGCCACACCGATTTGAAATACAACGTATGACTAAAAAATAAAATTGCTAACGCGGGCCACCGGAGGAAAACTTTTCACAGCCAAACAAGTCAGTTTTTTTCGATCTTTTTTTAATTTTTTTGTTCAACTATAACTCCTATACATCGAAGTGCAAAAAGTTTTCTTTGAGAAATTGAAGAACGTTAAATTTTGCGTGGAAAGTGTACTTAAACTTAATAATTTGGTCAAGTAGTGGTATGGTCGATAACCACAGCCAACGAACGCTGATTTTTACCAAATTCGTCAAAAACTGAGAAAATTTACTAATAGTGGCTCTACAGCTAGGAAATGTGTTCTCTAAGAGAAAAAACCCCATAGAATAACAGTTGTAGAGCATATAATTCCGCGTCCACTGAATACTAAAAGTTTTAATGTAGATCAATTGTATTTAAAGAATCTGGATTCGTCATTTCTTCATAAAATTCGAATTTTATTTTAATAATAATAATAATAATAATAATAGTTTATTTATTCTGGGACAAGTTCCTTTAGAATAATACAGAAAGGCATAAATATGGGCTAAGGAGCCTTAGAGATACATAAATAAAAATACAGAGTAATTAAAAAGTCATAGTAATAAAATTAAAAATTATAAGTTACTTTCTAATTTTAATCAGTTAATAATAATAAAAAAAAAAAGGATGAAGTAAAAATAATGAAGAACGAACTAATCATTTATATACATATTTACATTAGTATCTATTTAAAATTTCATGGGGACTGGATGGATAAGAAATGATTGAACAGGCGGGATTTAAAGGTAAGAAGGTTATTGGATTGACGAATGTGAGAGGGAATGGAGTTCCAAAGGGATGAAGATCGGATAATGAAAGATTTGTCGAAAGCAGCGGTTCGGTGGGCCCTTATGTATAAATCAGAAGACCGAGAACGGGTATTACGGGAACGAACAGAGGATTTGAATTTAAGAAGCTCGGAGATGTATTGGATGACTTGAAAGAGAAAGGAAGCCAGGAAATATTTACGACGGTAGGAAGGATAAAGCCACTTCAACGCTGCATAAACATGGGAAACAGAGGCATCCCTTGGGATCCCTAAGATGAATCGTACAAAGCAATTTATCAAACTTTTAGTTTCGCCTCGAGATCCCCAGAGACGCCCCCATATACCGTACAGCAATAGTCAAAGTGGAGGAAAATTAAGGATTTTACACCTCATTTCTCAAAATCCTTCGCTACTGAGAGGTGTAAAAGATTTCTATACTGCATATACTATAATCTTAACAAGACTATAATCGGTAGAATAGACACACAAATTGTTGAAATATTTAAAATTACAGATATATTTATTACCACTTCATAGCCATCGCTATATTAAAACTGTTAGTACTCAATGAATGCGGAATTTGATGCCCTATATCTTTAATTTCATAAATTTTCTTTTTCCTTAGAGAACTATTTTGCAAGTTGCAGCGACATTTATAGTAATTTGCATCAGTTTTTGATGAATTTGGTAAAAATCAGCGTTGGTTGACTGTGGTTATTGACCATACCACTTAACCAAATTATTAAGTACTCGTTGAACGCACAATTTAACGTTCTTTAATTTCTTAAAGAGTGAGTTTTTCAGTTACGATGCACCGTTTAGGAATTATAGGTGAAAAAACAAAAAAATGTCGAAAAAATCAAGCTGGATGTAAAAAGTTTTCCCTTGATAGCGTTAACAATTTTGCTTTTTTACATGTCTCAGCCAATATATCTCTGATTTTCTCGTTTCGATCCTCAAGTTACTCGTTATAATCATTAAATCAGCCGTCAGTTTTACACGTAGCAAAATCCTTCTAGCAGATTCTAATTTTTTTTTTCAATTATAAATGTTATAAATATTTTTAAAAACAGTGTTTAAAGTTTTCATAAAAAAATGTAGATTTTTTTCTTACGGGCTATCGGACTAGCACTCACTGTCAAAGGAGATCTTAACAAAAAAAAAAAAAAAAACCGTTTCCAAATTTTTATTTTTTGTGCTACATTTCGGCAGCTCCAGCGGCCTCCTTCGAATTAACCAATCTGGAATTCGACATACCAGATTTGTTTCCTAGATAGAACAATTCCATAAAAGTTATGGTAAATTTCGAAGCATTTTTATTCACGCCATTTTTAAAGTTTGGCTCACTTCAACACCCGCTACAGATAAAGTTACAGAGTTTCAATG